CTAAGTACTGAGGAACAAAGTGCCTATGCTGTCTTCATGGAGGATGCTCCTGATACCCGGAGGTGGAGATTGAAAAAAACCAATGCCCTGGGTGAGAGTTTGTCCAATAGAAGCCATGTAATCAGCTGCCGCGTTTCCTTCCCTCAAAGTGTGCTGCACCATGCAAACCTCAAAGGAATTTACTAGATGGAAGATGTCCAACAGAAGTATTGAAGCTGGGCCATCCCCGATTTTCCTTGCCAGTATCGCCTGCACCTCCAACAAAGAATCCATTTCAAGGACCAAGTGGGTAAGACCCATCTCAAGAGCTAACCGAAGGCCAGCGCGACAACCCCAAAGCTCCACCATATAGCTAGTTTGTGGCCCAATATTAATCGCAAAGCCATGTAGCCACTGATGTTTGCGCTTTTTGTTAGAGGCAAACTCTAGTAAGAAAAACAAGCAAGGTTAAAATATTAATTTGGTCCTTTAATTTTTAAATCTGTATTAAACTTGTCTTTTAACTTTAAAAAGTATCAAAATTACCCTTAAATTTTAATTTTTAATATCAAAAAAGTCCTTTCATTAATAAAAATGTCATGTAATTCATTATTTTGTCACAAAATTAATACTTTTTAAAATTCTAATAACGTGTAAAATCAAACAGTTATATTTTGTCATCATAACATATTTCTATTTACACATCAGATTGATATATAATCAAAACTAAAAAACTAAATTGGTGTTTATAGTCAAAGTTTAAAAATTAAGTCGGTACTTGTCTTCAATGTTTAAGCACTAAGTTAGTATTATCTTCAAAGTTTAAGGACTATTTTAGTACCAAAAATCAAAGTTCATAGACAATTTTGGTACTTTATAAAGTTGAGAGACAATTTTGATATAAATTTAAAAGTTAAAGGACCAAATTAGTATTTTAACCAAAAAGCAACTTTACATTCTCTTTCTTCTTTCTTCTTTCTTCTTTCTTCCTATAGTAATTAGTACACATTTTATTTTAACATATTATATAATATATTTATTAAAAAATTATTATTTTTTAATCTAAAATTAAATATAGATAAATTTAAAAATAAAGTCATGTATATAAGATTTATGAACTAAATGAATCGAATTATATTTATAGTATATTTTAATAACTAAATTGGATAAGTATTGAAAGGTATGCTGAATCAAGTGTAGAAAAGAAAAAATAGGTTCTGTTAGTTATGGAGAGAGGACAAGAGGATGAGAAAGGTGGATGCAAACAAATAGATAAAGAGGCAGGTCTTGACAAACGGCACAAAGTCGCTAGTTTGTTGGCTACCAAAGGCTTGATTAGCAGCAATATGGCCATGAGGAGATTTCAATAAGACGAAAAACTTACATTCACTAGGGTTATGATAAGAGATCCTCCAACCAAGTTGTGGCTTATTTCTTCACCAAGTTTCCAAAGAACTAGAGTCATGAGGAGATGAGGGAAACTTTTAAGAAATTTGGTAGGGTGCTAGCGATCTATAGCCCTGTGAGGAAAGACAAAATTGGGAAGCGATTTGGTTTCGTGCATTTCCTGGATGTTAAAGATGAATGGGATTTGGAAAAATAGCTCGATCAAACCAAGATCGAAGAACACAAGTTATGGGTGAATAAAGTAAGATACAACAAAAAGGCAAAAAAAGCAACTAAGCAGAGAGGAGGTGAAGACGGTCAACATCAGAAGGCCCACTTATGCTGATGTGCTAAAAGGAACAAAAGGATCATCCTCAAATCTAGGTATAAAGTATCCTTTTGTTCTAGAAGTGAGAAAAAGTAGGTGCAGATGGACAAAAAGAGAGAATGCAAATCAAGAATGGAATTCAACACAAAACAAGAAGATTGGGCCTAACTCGAAAGATGCTATGTAAGGACAATTTACTCAGTAGAGGCAATCTCGAACCTACAAGAGGAATTTTATAAGGAAGGATACTTTTCATGCTTAATAAGGCCAATGGGGGAACCTACTAGTGTTGCTTGATTGCAAAGACAAAGATGAATTAACAGACCTGGTAGAGCTAGGAAAGAATTAATTTAGTGGTTTGAGGAGTTCAAACCTTGGACACTAAACATGATTCCTAGCGAATGGTTTGTTTGGTTGAGGTGTCAATGGGTTCATTTTCAAACATGGGGAGAGGAATTCTTTGCTACTTTAGCATGCATTTGGGGGAAGTTTATATGTTTTGATGATAGTCAAGTGCAAGAAAAAGATTCAACATTGGAAGGTTCCTCATTTTGGCACCAACAATGGACTTTATTTCAAAGCATCTTAGTATAAAGGCCGATGGCAGCCAAATGAATTTGAAGATCACCAAAGAAAAGTTAACAAATGGCATATTTTAAATGAAATTAGATTTTAATCCATGCTTTGCATCAGGCTTGGATTGTGGGGATGATGAAACATGGTCCTTGGAAAGTTTAGAAGGAGATTACATGAAAGATGAATAGTTTGAAGCCATGCAAACCAACAAGATTCTAAGTGTCAATACTGATAAGAAAGATGATGATGTGGCAAAGATAGATAGGGTAGGAGATGAAATGTCGGTGAACTTAATGCCAATAAAAGACAATAGGTGCTAGGACATCAATGCAGATCTAGATAGCATAAAAGATAGTGCCATTAAAAGTGCCATAAGCATATGAGCAAATATTGAAGCATGGGAGATTGTAATAAATAGTTTGGTGTAGCTGCCAAATTCAAATCTGGTATGTGCACATGGTGAAATGGGAATAAATAATGTTGTTACCATGGAAAAGGCACTAGAACCTTTTAGTGAGGTAGTTGGGCCAGATGCAAATGGGCCTGGTGAAAAAGGCATGAATTTAATGGGTGAGGAAAATGGTCTAGATGGGATGGATTTTCAAAGACCCATTGAAAACCAATTTGTGGGTTGTATGAGGACCCAAGATGTGGGTCCTCGGATAAAATCAAATAACAAAGACTAGAATTGTAATGAGATAAATGAAAAGAGGAATAAGGAGTATTTGCTCATATTTGAAGAATAAATGGATGAACACCATGAGAAATTTTTTTGGGAAAGGCTTGATAGTGACTTCAGAATATTAGAAGAATGGATGGGTAGGAGACAACGAAAATGGTCAAACAAAAGAAGAACAAGGGAAACTCGTTCTTGCATGTCTGTATAGAATGGCTCCAATCATAACAATAGTGATTGGGAGGAATCTTGGTAATAGGAAATAAAAAAGAAAGGCAAAAATAAAGAGTAATTCTAGTATTCCACATGAACGAGGACAACAAGGTGGCAAGCGAATTAGTCGGGGATAGTGGGATTGCAAACTATAATAGAGATATATCAAAGTAGGAGTCTAATAGAATAATAGAAATCTAGAATTTTTCTAAGAAAAATAGGGTGGTGGTGAAGGGAAATGAGGAAGGGATCATTCAATAGATCAAAAGAATGGAAGGAAGGGACAAAGTTGGAAGGAAAGTAGCAATAACAAAGGATGTGGCTAGTGGAAATGTAGGTATTGCTAACCCTCAATGATTTTACTACCATTTAATGTTAAAGGATTATGGGATGGTGGAAAGAAAAAGGAATTG